CATTTGCTATTAGAGATAGGATAGATTATACCTGCATCAAGCCATTTGATGATTTTCTTTCTTACCACCTCTTTCATATTGGGGTTCAGCCTCCTTTGATGCTCCATAGATGAGCTGTCAGGATCTTGGAGCAAAATTTTATGCATGCAGATTGTTGGGCTAATTCCCTTTATATCAGCCATGGTCCAACCGATTGCTCCTCTGTATTCCTTAAGCTTCTGTGTGAGCTGAAGTTCCTGTTCATGGGTTAGTAAAGAAGAAATAATCACAGGGAGAGTGTTTTCTTTATCCAAATAAATATACTTCAGGTGTTCAGGTAAAGGCTTTAACTCCAAGGAAGGCGGTTGCTCTACTGAGGGAAAATTTGGTCTTTGCTCTTGCTCCGATCGGTTCAAGGATTCGAAGATCCTTTCTCTCTTGTCCCCAATATGAATGGAATTAATGGACGCAAGGTATTCCTCCAATTCGTCAAAGTCCTTCATGCCTATTTCTGACTGCAACTGCTCCTGCTGTTCTTCTCTTATGATCAAGTCAAGAGTTGAAATGCTAGAGCATTCCTCAGTGCTATCTTCATCAAACTTCATTGCTTTCATGACATTGAACTTCACCTCCTCTCTATTTACACTCATGGATAGTTCGCCTTTTGTGACGTTTATGACAGCATCACCAGTGGCTAGGAATGGTCTGCCCAGAATTATTGGAACTCCTTGGTCTGCTTCAAAATCCAAGATGATGAAGTCAGCTGGTAGAATGAACTTGTCTACTTGGACAAGGACATTCTCAATTTTTCCTTCTAGCTTGGCTATGGATCGGTCTGCAAGCTGAAGAGTGACTGTGGTTGGTCTTGCTGCTCCTATGTCAAGCTGTTTGAAGATAGAAGCTGGCATTAAATTTACACTCGAGCCCAGATCACAAAGTGCTCGACCAAGGTAGTTCTTCCCAACTGTACACGGGATGGTGAATATTCCAGGGTCCTTCAGTTTGGGAGGAATCTTAGTCAGGTATTTGCATGATTCTTCAGTGAGGGCTACAGTCTCAAATTCCTCAATCCTTCTTTTTTTTGACAAAACGTCCTTCATAAATTTTGCATACGAAGGCATTTGTTCCAGAGCCTCCACCAGAGGGACATTTATGTGAAGTTGTTTCAACAAGTCTAAAAACTTGCTAAACTGCCTATCTTCATGTTGTTTTTTTAACCTCTGTGGAAAAGGAGGCTCAATTGGTTCACTCCTCTTTTTGCATGGTGGAACATAAGTTGGGACTGAAACTGGTTCATTATCTTTTATTGCGCCAACATCTGCTCCAGATGTTGTGGAACCTGGTGTGACTTTAGTGAGATCATCGTTCTGGACCTTCTCCCTTGATTCTATCTGAGCTTCAAGGGGTTGAGGGTCAGTAGCTTCCTCAACTCCTTCTTCCATAGGTTGTCTTGCTAGTTTGCGTTTACGAGATCGTGCCACTAAATCTGGAGGTGGCAGAGTTTTTCCATCTCGTAAGCTTATAGCATTACAACGCTCCTGGGTTTCCTGGGACGGTTTTTCTGTGTCACTAGGGAGTGTCCCTGGTTGTCTCTGTTTGAGTGCTCCAGCCAACTGAACAATTTAGGTCTCCAGGCTCCTCATGGCTGCACTGTTCTAATTCATGTATTCCTTGACAAAAGTCTCAAAGGATTGGGACTTCCCTTCACCCTTATCCCAGTTTTGATGGTTCTGCCTGGGATATGTGGGTCGGTTCTGGTAATTTCCTCCACTACCTCCAACATTATTCTGACTCTTCCATCCCCGGTTTTTGTTCCCTTGATAATTATCATTGCTCCTGTTGTTATTATCGTAACCACCTGCATAACACACAGCAGCCAAATTGTTACAGTCCTCAGATTCATGAGGACCTCCACAAATGGAGCAACTTTGACCTGATTGAGTCAAGAGAAGTTGCTCGGTTGGTTTTTTCTGTTCCATGGGCTTCCAATTTTTTATAGTATTCTGGAGCGAAACCATTTGTGCTGAAAGAGCATTAGTTGAGCTCAGCTCAAGAACTCCTGCTTTCTTGGAAGCATTGTTCCGCGTGGAAGGCCATTGAACATGTTTTTTTGAAAAAATTTCCAACAACCGGTAGGTTTCCGGATAAGTAAAATCCAAAAGATCTCCCCCTGCAGCTGCATCAACAGTGGCTTTCAATGGTGGGGTTAAGCCATGATAAAACGTGTGAATAATGCCCCAATCAGAAACTCCATGATTTGGGCAAATTCATATTAATTCCTTAAAGCGCTCCCACGCTTCATAAAGACTATCTCCATCATACATTTGGAAAGATGCTATATCAGCCCTCACTTGGGCTTGTTTTGCTTGGGAGAAAAATCGGGTGACAAACTGTTCAGCTAGTTTCTCCCAACTAGTGATGGAAATTGGGGGCAATGTTCTCCTCCATTCTTTGGCTTTTCCTGCTAGGGAAAATGGAAACAGCCTCATTCGCATATTTTCCTCTGAGATACCATGAACTTTGAAATTATCAACTATCTCAGTAAAGTTGTCCAAATGACTGTGGGGGTCTTCCATAGGAAATCCATGGAATTGACCAGCATTCATAATCATTTGGAACATTGCAGGTTTGATTTCAAAGTTCGGGACATCTAGAGGAAGAGGAACATAGCCTCGTTCTGGACCATTTCTGAAGGGAGCAGCCATATCATTCAACGATGGCCCTCTTCCTCCATTCTGTCCTTCTTCATTCTCATGATTATTATTTTCATTGTTACCATTTTCACCATTATTTAGAACTTCCTCCATTGTATTATTTCTTAACCTTTGAACACTTCTTCTATTTCTGAAGGTTCTCTCGGGTTCTGGATCAAAATGTACTATTTCCAGTCCAAGTTCTGTAGGTTCTGTGCTCATACAATAGGAAGAAGTCAAACACAATAAAAACAAAAAAGATTTCAAAAACACAAACAACAATGTTTCCTTAAAAACGCCCTTTTCTTGCCAAATGATCCCCGGCAACGGCGCCAATTGCTTGGTCGAACCGAGAGCTGCTCAGGGATAATTTTAAGGAGCAATAATACAGAGTGATAATCGAGATTGCAAACAGGAGCAATCTACTCTGACGGAGAGCAACCCTCTTCAACTATACACAAGCGTACGTGTCAAGCAATACAGGGTGTTGTTAGCCCCAGATTTATCGTCCTCAGGGAGCAGTTGTGAAGAAGGAATCGTTCAGGGAAACTTAATTCTTAGAAAAATGAAAGGAAAGTAGTTATTCTCAACCAAGCTTCACAAGGAGCAATCTCTAGCCAGCTAGTTAAACAGTGTTAACCATTCTGAACTAGATGAGAGCAGTGAATAACTTAGCATAGTCATCGAATATCAAGGCATCAAATTGAAGTAACTCAAAAGAAATTAGTGAAGTGATTATAAAAGCAGCAATAGATAAGCACAATTTGGTTCTCGTGAAGAAAGTTATAACAAAAGTTTGATGTGAGATTGAGTTTAGAAAGAGTTAAGTAGGTGTTTCGGGTTCTATATTTTCATCCCTTTGGTTAACCCTGCTTGGTAGCATATTTTAAAAATGGATTCTGCTCCTTTTCGTCGTTTTGCCACAAGTAAGTAAAAGAGCAAGACCTTACTCTCCACATTACTCCGTAGAACTTAGAGTTAAATGCAAGGAAACCATGCTGCCTTCTCAAAAGAGCCTGGATTCACATGGCAGTGCTCTTCATTCCAGGTGTTCCTCCCTCCTTTCTTCAGGCTGAACTACCCCAAGATCTTGAAACTGCTCCGCACGCCCTTGTCAGTGTTTCATCGACCGAGTGGTCCCGGGATGAGGTTGCCAGCCCAAAGGGTTTCACATAATCAATATATTAAACCAAAGAACAGCTCAAAATTCATTCATAAAATATGTGTTCCTTGCAAAGTTATCCTATGACAAAAGGGATTACTTCTATGGAACCCTCACCTACTTAGAGGAAGTTAGCTCCTAGCGAGCATTACAAAAGAAAAATATCAGGAAAAATAAATGGCAAGCCCTCGAATGGTGTCCCGATCCCTTCTTCCTTTTATAGAGTTCTTCTGTCAGATCCTCATCGTCCCTTTCATCAATGGCTGTGCCTTCTTCAAATCCTCTCCAATAGCCGGTCTGCTTTCTGCCAGGTCAGCTCTGCATGGCAGTGGTCCCCCTTGCTTTTGGTGCTTTTTCTCGGGTGAGAATTTCAGAATCAGGGAGACACCTTCACCTTCTCGGCTGTGGCTGACGTGGAGGCTACTGATTGCTGCCTTTTACTGCTTTTGTATTGTAGCAAGCTTTTATGCTCCCTCCTGCGCAGCATTCTTCCTTCTTTTCCTTAATGTGTGGGCCCTTATGTTAGGTCTCAGGTTTCCTGATCAAAACAAATCAACCCAATAATCAGATGTGAAAAAGATAATGTCAATTTGCTCCAGGCCTACTCTAATTCCCATTTCAAGTATTGCTCTGGTCCACTTTTCTAGACAATTGCTCTTCATGGAAAAAAAGGTTAAAGAGAGTGATTTGTGACCAAAACAGGGGTTTTGTGGAGTGATATATACTTAATGGACCTCAACTTTTGAGGACCATCAGTCACCGTGGAACTCGAGGTGCAGGTTGTCTAGCAGCACCAGATCCTATTACTACAGTTCTGAATGCTCTGCAGGAAGAGACTGCTGCGAATAGAAATATGACCGAGACCCTGATGAAAAATAATCAGGATATGATGCACGCCTTCGTGAATGAGATGATGGCGGATAAGGCTCGGAACAGGAGGGATGATTCTCCTCCACATACGGCTACAGAGACTCACACCCGTATGCCATCTGTTACACCTCACTAGGAGGGGAGTGGTGCTAGTCGTCAATCTGGTGAGGCTAGTCACCACACTACTGATCCTACTTATATCCCAGAGCCTTCTGTGGATCCTTCTGTTGTTTCTCAGTCGTCTGGGGTTGCTAGGCAAGTATTTGTTGGTACTAATGAGCAAAGACTCATTTCTTTCAGAAATCATAAACCACCAGAATTTCAGGGGTCAAGGGACCCGAAGGTTGTGACTACTTGGTTGATGGGTATGGAGAAAATATTACAGGTTATGGGGTGTCAGGATCCCCAGAGATTACTTTATTCTGTTTATATGCTCGAGGGGGATGCCCATGAGTGGTGGTACAATGCATATCGCCCTTTTACTATTCAGGGGGAAGAAATTACTTGGGCTTTATTTGAGAGACTATTCCATGAAGAGTATTTTCCCAGGGATGTTCGGGAAGCTAAGCAGGGTGAGTTTGAGAAATTGGTACAGGGTACCATGACTGTTGATGCTTATGTGGCAAAGTTTAATGAATTAGTGAAATTTGAAAATTACGGGGTCGTGCTGCCGACTCCTGAGTTTTTATCTACTAAGTTTCAGAGGAGTTTGAATGAGAAAATTGCTAAGAGGATGTCTAATACTATGGTGAGAAATTTTGCTGATCTAGTGACCCAGTGCAAAAGGATTGAAAGTGTTTATAGCAGGTATCCGAAGTCTAGTTCTTCGAGGACATCTGGCCCTCCTGGTAATAATAACAGAGGTGGCTACCATCAGAATAATAATAGAGGTAGGGGGTTGCAGGTAAGGCAGCCTCCGGGTCAGTTCAAGAGGGGTAGTGGTCAGAGGAGCAGATTTAAAGATAGAAATTCTAATCCTCGATGTGAAAAGTGTAAAAGGTTTCATCAGGGCCCTTGTACTGCGGATCCAAATGCTTGTTTTAAATGTGGTAAGGTTGGGCATTATGCCAACAATTGTTACAGTAATACTGGGCAGGCTGTGAATCTGCAGGCCTTGCCATCTGCTCCTACGGTTGGGCGTGTTTATACTACAAATGTGCAGCAAACAGAGAAGGCACCTAATCTGGTTAAACGTATAATTTTTATCTCAAATATTGATTTGTCTGTGTTGTTTGATTCGGGAGCTACGCATTTGTTCGTGGTAGAATATGTTGCTAAGGGGTTGGGGTTAAAAGTATCACTGATGATTCCCCCTATGCGTATTACTACGGCTACAGGAGAGGTTAGTGATTCCACCTTTATTTGTAAAGAGGTTGGATTTATTTACGAAGGCGGGGGTTACACTATTGATTTGATTATCTTGCCCCTGGCCTCTGTTAATTTGATATTGGGCATGGATTGGTTATCTCAAAACTGCGCGATGATTGATTGCTGCGGTAAGAGGTTGATTTTATCTCACGAGAAGCCCTCGGTCATTCCGTCTCCCTTTCTGTCTATGTGTCAAGCTGTTAAAGCCTTGAAGGCTGAGGACCAGGGTTATATTTTCTTGGGTGGATTGGTGGGTGGTAAGGAGATAGAGATTTCTAGTATTCCGGTGGTTAATGAGTTTGTGGATGTATTTCCTGATGAGATACCGGAATTTCCACTTGAGAGAGATTGAGTTCTCGATTGAATTGTTTCCTGGTGTGGGGCCTATTTCTTTGGCTCCATCCCGGATGTCGTCGCTAGAGTTGGCTGAGTTGAAGAAACATATTGAAGAGCTGTCTGCAAAGGATTTTATCAGACCGAGTGTGTCTCCGTGGGGAGCACCTGTAATATTTGTGAAAAAGAAGGATGGAAGCATGAGGTTGTGTACTGACTATCGACAATTGAATAAGGTTACGGTTAAGAACAGGTACCCATTGCCGCGTATTGATGACTTGTTGGATCAATTGAGGGGTGCCTGTGTGTTTTCTAAGATTGATCTCCAGTCTGGATACCATCGGATTTGGATTAAACCGGAGGATGTGCCTAAAACGACATTTCATTCTAGATACAGACACTACGAGTATCAGGTGATTCCTTTTGGGCTTACTAATGCCCCAGCAGTGTTCATGGATTATATGAATCACATCTTTAAACCGTATTTGGACCAGTTTGTAATTGTTTTCATTGATGACATTTTGATCTATTCTAAGAGTGAGGAGGAGCATAC